TTCTAAGCAAATCCATGTGGTTTTAATAAATGTAATCAATATAAAATTGTTTTTGTAAATTGTAAAACTAATTCTGATAACCATGGAGCCTTATGTCATGACTCATTTATTTCTTGTATCCAGTTACCCTCATTTTTCCTTTCATCACTCCACCTCTATGTTCGCTCTGTTCACTCTTCACCGAATTCACCAAATGACCATTCGCTACTTGCATCATTTGCCAGTAGGCATGCCATCAAACACAATTGACATCCTTTACCCAGCATGATGGTTCATCACTGGCCCCATCACCCCTCTGATTAAACCCCCTTTGGGTGTTCCTATGGCTGGAATGCATTTGCAGGGCATCCTACCCATAGATTGTGTGGGACCAACCCAGCAGACCAAGAGTCCATGCAGGGTAACATGTATGCGGGTCTGAAGGTGTGTTTTTCTTATATAGGTACCTTTGTCCTCTCTCCCCCCATTGTTTCATGTTTGCACTCCTCCTTTCCTCCATTGTATATGTGTTTCATCTATTTGTATCCTGACTGCACACCCCTATCCAACCCTGACTCACAACGGCCTCTTCCCTATTCGCTGATATCATATGAGCATTCAGTATAAGTAGTTTACATTCGCATGTATATTCTGCAGTTCAATTATCATAAGTCTATCTTGTGCAAAACTTGACCTCACTGTGACTATTGTCTTAAGTCCTCTTCCATAGACTATTATCTTAGACCAGGGGAGGACTTGAGCACCACTGGTGAGTTTCCATACTTCACCTTCACTACTTTAGTCTTCAAACCATTGTCGGTGCTGTTGGAGAAGGGCTCCAAAGGAGTACCTTCGCCAGCCAAAGGATTGTTACTACTAGACAACCTTTCCATGAGACCTTGTACGTTGCATCGTCAAGTACCACGGGCTATTTCACTTTGACTGTAGACAGGGTGAGCTCTGTTCCAGTAGCCCCCTTACCTCATAAACCTTTATTGGCTTTCCATTGTTCGCCAAACTACACACCTCATTGCACAAGCCATTCGGGCATTCGCTGTGTTCACTAATACATGATATTAATGCCTAAAATCCAATCTTGACACCTTACATTGTCAAACTCTTCAAGAAGATTGAGAAGTCACAAACTGGATTGGAGAGAAAGATGAGATAATATCAAATCTCACAAGGCAATCTGAAGAAATGTATAATGAAATTCTACAGTTGAGAGAGAAAGTCAATGAGAGAGGGAGTGATAAGAATGTCAAATTTCAGATTAGAAAAATCAAAGGTTGTTTTAGACTATATAAGTCAGAAGATAATTATCTTGACTTAGAAGATATGTATGTATATATAGATGGGAAGTCTTGAAAACCTTCTACAGTATACTTGAAAAAGACAGAATTAGTATCATAATTGCCTCCCACCTTTCTTGGTCATCACTACTGCCTCCTGTGTGTTCTTTCTTTATCATATCTGTCATTTCTTCTATTAATTTTCGCTTTTTTATCCTCTTTTTGCCATCTTTTCAGCCCAGGTTCCTCCTCTCAGTGCTTCTCACCTTTCCTGTCTGCCATTGCTGCATCTGGTGTGCGTCTTGCTATCATATTTATGTTGTTTTGATATTTATTAGGATCAGTTTCTATCTGTGGTGTTTCTTCCTGTAATTTTCGCTTTTTTGACCTCTTTTTCACTTCTTTTCAGCCCAGGTTGCTCCGCTCATTGCCTCCCACCTTTCCTGCTCATCATTACTGCATCTGGTGTGTTTTTTTCTGTCATTTCTTGCAATAATTCTCGCTTTTTATCCCTTTTTGTATTTTATTTTACATATATATACATATATCCTGTATAATTTAAAAATTTGATATAACTAGATTTCTCTGAAATGGCTAAAAATTAATAACATCAGCCCTGCCTGCAAATATGAGTCTATTTCTCTGTTATCCATTGTACAACCTTCTGGGATTTATTTATTTCCACTTGCCCCTACAATAATTTCTTTCACTTTTACACTCTTGCAGATACACTATAAACAAGTGACATGCTACAAACAAGGGAAATGCTACTTGGGGGATATGCTATGTATGGGCGGCATGCTATGCATGGGCGGCACGCTACGCATAGGGACATGCTATGCACACTATACTTGGGAGACATGCTACACTCAGGGAGCACATGCCATACATGGGAACATGCTACACATGATTGGCACACAGACACAGGAGAAATGTGTGGAGACATTACCTACCCAGATGTGTTACTTAGAGCTACTTTCAATTGTGACAAGATGTGTTTTACCCAAGTTTCATTTACCCAATGTATTTGACCTAACCCCTGGGCAAAGCACAGGTATCATCCACCCTGGCAGTGGTCCCAGTGCAGCCAGGCTTATCCCACAGGTCCCTGGCATTCTCAGGTCATCCAGGCTCATCCCACAGGTCCAGGGCGGTCCCTACCCAGTGCTGTGCCACATCCAGGAATATCCTGATGTGCAGCACAGGGGCATGGTAGGAGTAGACTTGCAATATGCAGTATTTTCCCATGGGCAGTTTTACGTTGCACTGATTGGAACAAGTCCATGTTCTTTAATATTGCTCAAACACTTCGAGACGTACAAAGCATTCCTCGAGACCCAAACAGGTCACAAACTGAAGAGGTTTCGCTCAGATAATGGAGGGGAATATGTCAATAAAAACTTCAAGGAATTTTGTGCAAAATATGGCATTATTATGGAGACCACAGCTCCATACTCCCCAGCCCAGAATGGAATTGCTGAATGACTCAACCGGACCTTACACGCACGGGCAATGATATTTGCCAAGAACCTGCCAAAAATACTCTGGCCCAAGGCCGTGGCTTACACGTGTTATATCAAAAATCGATCACCCACGCGAGCGCTTGGAAATGACGCAACGCCGTTCCAGGGACTATTCGGCAAGAAGTGAAACATAGCACGTCTAGAGGAATTCGGGACAAATTGCTGGGTTCATCAAATAAACCTTCTGACAATACAAGAAGATGTTACATATCGTGATCTCTGGAAGTTGGCTTCAACTTATATGTTGCACCCCCAATTAACTATCGTCCTAAGTATTTCAGATCAGAAGGTGGAAGTCGGAAAGTATCTGTAGGAAAAACAGCGATGCGCTTGATAGCAAAACGACAATGCACAACTGCAGGTTACAACCGCACGAGCAATTAATGCACATCCAGTACTAATTTATAAACCATTCCTCAGTGTCTCAGCCTGACACAATGAGTGACGCCCACATGACGTTGCTCGCACTTCAACACACCTCCTCGAGCGGCATCGACTCCAAAGCACCTCCTGAAAATGAGAGCACAGAGTCTTCATCATCCCCTTCTCCAGCATCTGCAAAGTGACCCTGCCACACTTCGGGCAAAGAGACAACGACAAGAGAGTAAAGGCAAATGAACAGAAGGGGGGGGGGGGGCACACTTTTGTTAGGTGTGGCTTTCGTTAGGCCGGCAACCAATGTGCTTTTGGTAGGCACAATTACAATCAGTGGTTTGACACACTTTCATTAGGCGTGGCGCACTTCCGGTAGGTGCGACTTCCGAGGGTTAGCACGCTTTCAATAGGCGTGGTTTCGGTAGGTGTGGTGCACTTTCGGTAGGTGCGACTTCCAGGTCGGTTTAACACGCTTTCAATAGGCGTGTCTTTCGACGAGTGAGCACGCTTTCGTTAGGCGCGACGTGCTTTCGGTAGGCGCGATTTTCAAGTGTCGACTCCAGCCTCGACAGGCAAGGAGTGTGCGGTTGTGTTAGAGAATCAGACGAGATGATAGCAGGTTCCAACTGCGTGAAGAGCTAGTATACAATGCAATAACTAAAAAACCGTTTTCATGTAAATGACGTCAATATGACATCGCTCGCACTTCAACAGTATCGAAGTAAGTCAAAGGTCAGAAATTAAGTCGGAAGGCAGAAGGCAGAGAGACCAAGGTTCTGCAATACTCGCTGTGCTAAGACCAGGAGATAGAGCGAAGGAAATCACCTATCAAAGGTGGTTATCTGATTGCATATTCGAGAGCATACATGAGGAGGTTTTTATACAAAGAGCTGATGCAACATGTAATGTTGTACTACTAAGCATGTTACAAAGAAAGTGGAAGTCAGATATGATATACGGGGCAAGTAACTAATCAAGAACAAAGAACTACAAGGGGGTGCAGGGTAGAGTCAAGAACAATGGACAAAAGAGCAAGGGGATGGAAAGCATATTTGACATGACAGAACAACGGGACTGGATGGACATATGGTCATGCTGTGCTACAAGTCAAGTCCGGTGGGTCCAAGTAATAGAGTCGAAAGAAGAAAAGATATAACAAGGGGCAGGGTTGTCGGCATTATTGGAATGTTGGGAGGGAGGTGGAACTGAGTGTCAGAAGTCGGAATAGTATGGTCATAACACAAGATGAGAGTGATAAATTCGAAATTAAAAAGATTACAGCAAATTGTAGGGTATATAATAATTTGGAAAATAATTACTATGAATTAGCAGATATGGATGTATATATAGATGGAGAAAAAACATCCCCTTTAATCGCATATTATAGAAGGGGTGATCTGGGATCATATCAGGTCAATGATAATCAAATAAACCTCCTAACAGAACAACAAGATAAGTTAGACTTCACAGATTTGACAACAGCCAGAGAAAAAGATAGTTCAGCAAATGAGCCCACTCAAAAGAAGAATAAACCAGAGGTAGATAATATTTGATATCAACAATGAACAAAAGAAGAATAGATCAAAACTAGATGGGAAATCAATGTTAGATATTCTTCATGAGAAGTACCCACCAATGATCTCAGAAGGTGAGGTATTGTAAGCTCCTAGAAAAACATTTGTGAGTCATAGAATCTTTCCCATTCATTGATCCAAAAATTGCCAACCAAAGTTACAAATGATGTAAAACTGTAGGAACTAAGCTTTTAAATGAAGCTTATACATGGTCAGACTATCTGCTATATTATCTCACCAAGTTGTAAAATGTGATAGACCAAATAGCTTACTTGGTAAAGCATGCTATCTACCAAGAAGGTCCCAGGTTCGAACCCTGGTCTGGTTAATCAAATTTTCATACTTGGGATCTGTAATACTTTCAAGTATATAATCAACTATATATTCAACAATTTCACAGACCTCTAGTGAATCTTCTGTGATTTTTAAGGGTCAATATAAAGTAATAGGAGTTGGACCTCCCTCTACAGTTTTTGTTTTGTAAACCTTCATCCTTCCATCTTGTAGTACAAGTACTAGGTGGGTACCCGCGCTTCACATGGGGGTGTAAGTCAAATGCATCGGTAAGGTCAAGTACATTGGGAAAACCAAGGTAATCGATTTGCATCAAGTAAAATCAAGTAAAATATATGTTGGGCAGTTGTGTGACTTGGAGCAAAGCGGTTGACAGGGTCTTGATGGTCCAAGGCTCACCAGGGACCATCAGTAGAGTCTGTTCGAGGTACTGCTTACCTCCTTCAGCATCAACTATCTCTTGATCTGGGAGTGCCACTATCTCGTCGCGAGAGAGGGGCTCAGTCACTTTTGCCCCGTGTTCCAGGCCTGCCCAACCTGCCTTTCTTGGCGGTCACCACGGTGCTAGGCTGTCTAACTGCTGGTTCAGTTGGAAGAATCCGTCCCTAGCTGTCGAGCGTTGTCTGTGCGAGGTTCGAGGTTGTCGCTGGTCTGGAGATAGGGGGGGAGTGGCCCCCACCTCCGCCACTCACTGCATTGTTCAGCATTTGAGAGTGGGTATGTAAAGATAAGGGATTTAAAGAGCTCAGAAGACGTCTAGACTACGTATTACAATTGTAATCAGGTGTGTGTGCCTACACGCCCTTGTTGATGATGGTGGAAAGAGCGTGAGAAGTCCCTACTTCCTACTTTTGATGACCCTATCTGGGTCACCACCGACAGCTTGAAGTCCGGCATGGGCATGGTCTATGGCCAAGACCCCGACTGTAAGACCTGTTGGCCAGCTGGCTTCTTGTCAAAGATGTTCAGTGTTGCTCAGCAACACTACAGAACCCACGAGCATGAGATGATTGCCATGCTCAAGGCCCTCATGAAGTGGGAGGACAAGCTCCTAGGGCAAAGTTCACCCTAGTCACAGTCCACGAGGGTCTCGAGTATTTCAAGACCCAGAAGAATCTATCTGACCAGCAGGTCAGATGGTGGGAGTTCCTCTCCTGCTTCAACCTCAACACAGTATATGTTGACGGTGTTGAGAACAAGGTCACAGAAAGTCTGTCCTGTTAGAATAAATGGGATAACTATACCACACTATTCTAAATCATTTAACAAATGTCTACTGAATTCATTAACTGGGAAATCATCGATGCACTGGCAACACTGCCTGCCCTGGCAAGCAGGTGCCTGGGCACTGGTCAGAAGAAATAAATTGCTATGGAACTTACAGGATCTCCTATCTGATATCGATTCCAATCCTCAGCTTTAAGCCAAACCCTGTTTCCTGAAATTAGGGCAGAACACTGAGTGTGCGCAACCTACGTAGTTGAAGCCAAGCCCTCTGTTCCAAACCTCAGCTCAGCTCTTGTTTAGAGCCGAGCCTCAGTACAACTTATAGTCTTAACAGCCTTCCATCCACAGACAGATGGAGCAACCGTGCAGGCAAACAGCTTGATTGGACAGGTCCTCTGGTCAGTCATCAGAGATGACCAGAAGGACTAGGCCAATAAATGCCCAATGCTTGAAGTTGCTCTTAACAGCAACATCAGCACTATGACAGGGTTTGCACCCTTCAAACTGAACCACAGCTATATGCCACGGATCAACCTGCCAATGGCCAGGGACACTCCCTTCAAGGTTGTCTCCCAATTTTCTCAGCAGGCTCATTGGAACCTGATGACAGCACATGGTGCTATCCTAGAGCCTCGCATGGTACAGGTGTTTCATGTCAATAAGAAGCACCTGGACAGCGACATGTATGCAGCCAGCAACCATGTATACCTGTCAATGCAGAACCTGGCCCTACATAAGGGAAGACCCAGGAAGCTTGTACCAAAATACGTTGATCTGTATCATGTACTCAAGGCCCATAGTGAGGCCTCAATGGTGACCCTCGATTTACTGGATGACCTAAAGAACTGACCCATCATGCCGGTCTTCCACACTAGCCTTGTATGCCAGTATGAGGTTAACAATGACGACCTATTCCCACATTGCAAAGCCAAGTCATTCTATGACTTTGGCTCAAATGATGATGAGTGACTTGTCAACAAAAATTTATCCCACAGGTGGATAAACTCGAAGGGCCTAGAGTTCCAGATCCAATGCACTCTAGGTGATGTGACATGGGAGCCTATGTCAGCATGTAAGGAATTGGAAGCTCTAGGTCATTACCTAGAGCTTCAGGGAGTGGTGAAGCCATGCAACCTACCCAGACACCATTAGGTCACATGAATCACGTGTCCCACACCTGATGTGCCAGAGATGGCATGGTTAAATTTTCACCTTGGATATTTCTGAGGCGCATTGCTTCTTAGAAGAAACCCCCATCATCTTCATTAGAAGATGATGAATGCCAAAGATGCCATGTCAACATCCACATCACAATCAATGGCCACAAGCAAGGGGCCATGGACATCCTCAAGGCTCTGACTACCACAGAGCACTGGGAGATCATGGGATGGACAGGGGGTGTAGCCATCATCCATCCTGATGAGTCCGTTGAGTGCTCACAATATATGACACATGTGATGACCACTTCAAGCACCAGCCATGTAAAACTACTGGACATGCAGCCATCAACATGGCCTGGCCTTGGTTTGCCAAGGCTGTCGAGCACTCGACCAGGGAGTGTGCTCAAGCCACCATCCATGACCTCAAAAGGGAGGTCAAGGATTTACAAAACACAGTCAGAGACCATGACAATGCACTCAACACCCAGCAGGTGAAATCCAAACATCTGGAGGAGCAGCTTTGTGCCCTCCAGTGCAAGCCAGTGCCCTGCAAAAGGACACCGGCCCCAAACCAGCCACCTAGCCCATGGCTGGCCCATCATCCTGCATGATGGCCCCTTTGCCATCATACACTACCCCTATCTCTGGTCCAGTCCCCACCTCCAGCCCCTGGGACTGGATCTCATGACCTGGCTAGCCACCACACCAAGCCCGTCCTTCATGGGCCTGAGTGATCTGGTAGTATTGATTGACAACATCCCCAACAGGTTCTACTTGGATGACTCAGACCTGGCAAAGTATGCCCCAGGCCGCACCCACCACGTCTCTAAAAAGAGACATGCCCAAGGTTGCAGAAAGCCTGTAACCTATGACCCTATTGGTGACACTCATAAACATGTCACCAAGGGATACCTTGCCCAGTCATTGACCCATACAGTCAACGACCTGGCGCTGGCAAATACTCTTGTGGCTGTGCAAGAGGGTACATCATCAGTGAACAGGAGAAGGTGAGTCAGGGGCTGGGTGGACCAAGCGGATTGCAGACTCACATGTCTAGCTTGCTTGCTTTGAATCCTAATATGAGGTCTGGGAGCTGGGTCTTCTTGCTCTCATCCCTGGCCACAACCCTTGCTCACTTGATGGTGTTGTGGAATCAGAGACGTGCCGGACACCCGGGACTGATCCGACCACGTATATACACCATGTATGATCCCTCACGCCGCTTATCTCCTACTGACTCTTATCCCACGACCCGGTCTCCCTTTCCCACTCCACCTCCATATGCCCCATCCATTACATAGTATATACATGTACAACTAGATACGACACGCCCCCACGACTCAACTCCACCCCGGCCATATCCCCGGGCATCGACCCCCGTCCATTCCACAGTTACCCATATGTACGGACCCCTTCACGCTCCACAGTGATCTTGATACTAGTTAGTGATATTCCGAGTAGTATAAAATGGTTACCCTTGTATATCGAGAAATTAGACAGCATCCTCTGTCCAACTCCGAGTCCTTCTCAATCTAAGTCCATTGTAACACTCACTGTCGCTCCAGCGTAAGCGGCACAGGTTACCAAGACATTTGTTGTTGTGGAATCAGAGACGTGCCGGACGCCCGGGACTGATCCGACCACGTATATACACCATGTATGATCCCTCGTGTATATACGTGGTCGGATCAGTCCCGGGCATCCGGCACATCTCTGATTCCACAACAGATGGCTGTGTTGCCAGTGAACAGAGTGTCTTGTTCCTCTGCCTCCATGTGCTGTTGCTCTGCTGCAGTCTTGGGGGGGGGGGGGGGGGGTTCAGGTTGCTGTTGTGGCTGTGGGTTGGGCTGCTGCTGGGGTTTTCTGCTACTGATTCCTGGCAGTTGCAATCTTGGCTTTGAGCCATGCTATCTCCTGCTCCTGTTCCTTCAGCCTGGCGGCCATGCCTTGGCTAGCAGGTGCTGCGTCTTGTGGAATGCAGGCATTGATGCCAAGGGCTTCCCAGTTTGTTACACCACAATCCTTCAGAGGGAGGCTGACCAAGTTCAGGAGCGAGACCCGAGGTATGGTCCGAGGTTACGGAGTGAGGTTCAAAGAGGGAAGTCAGAGACGGATTTGGCTTCAGCTTATGTGCTATGCCTGCCCTACATATGAGTCCCAACTTCTTAGATAAACAAATAAGAGGCGAGGTCCAGTTTAAGAGGCAAATGCTTAGAAACTAGCTAGGATCAAAGGGTGTATGAAAGTGATATTCAGACTGAAGAATAAGGGTGCATACAGGTGGGTTTATATACAGGTGAGAGTAACAGTCAGGGGTAAGCATATATGAGGATATAACTAAGTGATGCATGATGGAACGGAACAGATAGATAAGGGGATTAGACCATGTGCTTAAGCTCAGGCATAATATCACAAGGCTCAGGGCACAGTAAAAGGGTAGTACTGGTAAGTAACCGTCCTTTGGCTGGGTTCTTACACAGTTTCAGTTTGCTGAGATGGGCCTAGGATAGGACTGGTCCACTTGCTGGTGTGGCAGGTGGTACCTGTGCACACTGCTCTCTGCTCAGTACGTTGGTTGCCTTGCACCTGGGATGGTGGGGGTGTGATGTTCAGTCCTAGATGTTCATGGAACATTGTTCTGTTACTG